CACATGTTACTCGCCTACGCCGATGACATCGACATAATGGGTCGAACATTCAGAGCCGTAACAGCCACCTTTGAACAAATTGAGAAGGAGTCTGCCAAAGTGGGTATGGCAGTAAACGGTGAGAAGACCAAACTGATGGTATCAACGCGCAAGACGTCCAGTAGACTTGGACTAACTGTGGAACTTGAGAACTACAGCTTCGAGGTAGTCAAAGATTTAATATACCTTGGTATCGCCATAAATAAAACGAATGACATCAGCTTTGAAATTCGGAGAAGGATAGTGATGGCCAGCCGATGCTATTATGTTCTGAGCAAACAACTCAAAAGCAGGGCCACCTCCCGCCAGACCAAACTCAAACACTACAAGACGCTGATACTACCCGTGCTGTTATAGGCATCTGAAGCATGTGTACTTACGCAAGCAGATGAGGCAGCCCTTGGAGTGTTTGAGAGAAAAATTCTTAGAAAGATCTATGGGCCGATCTGCGTTGACGGTGAATATCGCCGTCGAATGAACCATGAGTTGTACCAGCTATTCTCGGACATCGACATTGTTAGACATATTGAGCTGCAGCGACTACGTTGACTAGATCATGTTGTGAGAATGGATGAAGATGCCCCAGCCCAGAAGCCATATAAAAGCGAACCAGTTGATGCTTGACCTTCGCAGAAGGGGAAGGTCAAGAATACGTTGGAAAGATCGCCGAAAATGATCTTTCAAATTGGAAAAACGACATGCCTGGAAATCTTTTCTAAGCTCGGCTTATGGAACGAAAGTTCTGTCACAATAAAATTTTTTGATTAGACGCACATCTATGGAAACCAATGAAAAAATTCGGAAGTCTTTTGCGATTGGCCACTTTTCAATCCACATTTGATTTATTTAGACATATTAATAGAATTGCAGGCTCTTTAGAGGGTGAATAAATATTCTCAAAGTGTATCATATGACAATTCCAAAAATATCGCCAATTTATTTTTAAATTTACAGATATTTTTCCATCTGTAAATTTAAATGGGTTATACACATTTTTAAATAATTTTCAACCCCCTAATAAATTTATTAATTAATAGACTAACGATTTTGATTCCTTTCAAATTCTATTCAAATAGATAAGATCAAAAAATCACACAATATAACAATTGTCAATAATTTTGAAACATCCTATTTCATACACAAATTGAATAAGACTATTATATTTAATTTTTTCGTAGTAATTTTCCTACCAAAAATTAAAATCCCAAATATCATTATATAAATATTTAACTGCGAAATCGTGAAATTCTAGCTAAATTACCGTAAAATATTTTATTGCCTCATCACCCTATTGAATATTTATATATTTTTTTCAATTTTTTGTTGTCCAATAAACGATGTGCATTTCGCATTTCTAAGATAGATTTGGCAAGTTCACGTGTTTTTATAGTCACAAACTAGTTTTACTACTATTATTTTGCTAATTTGAGAGAGTTTGTATACAAACATATATATTTGCATTCAAATATTAATATAAACATTGTGTTGAATGGAACAAATTCCAAAGTTTAGTGAAATTGAATACTGACGTCTATTTCAAGATTTCAACAGGTTTACATTAAAGTTCAAGCTAATAGAAGAACAGTGCAGCAATATGCAATTAAGTCCATCGCTACAAATTTATTATGAAATTTATGAAGGTTTTTAATTGATTGATTAAATACATTTAGTTCTTGAAAACATCTAAACAGTGTTCGAAGAATGATTAAAATACGCTCTTTCTCGGGAATGCTCACGCGCGACAATTCGAATGTTTTCAATGTATGGCGAATGATAAAGTTACAATGAATGAACAAGCATTTTCAATCTCTCGTGAATGTTCGCATCGTACGAAAAAGTCACGAACGATAAAATTTCGCGTTTTGTTTTTATGCCTTTTTAGGGCGAAGGATCATTCATGTAAATGTTTTTATTAATTTCTCTTTCGAGATGAGCTGCAAGCGTCGTCGATTCGTTCTTTCGCGAGCATTTGTTGATGAAGAACATTCTTCAAAAAAACTCAAAAAAAAAAATGTTCGCGTGGGGAAAGTGTGTGGAATAACAAAACACATGTCCAACAACTACTGAGTTCACGAACGTTTGTTGTTGTTGTTGTAGCAGTTTATATGTATTGAATGTTTCCTGTTATGTTTCCTCCGGTTCTGTCTCCAGATTTAGGAATGCAGCTACCTCCACGCTCGTTTGGTAAAGAATTTATCGTCATAAATTCATTTGTATAATGAGCACAAAACGAAAAGAATGTATTTTAATTTATTCACGAGCGAATTTTTGCGCACCCTGCATCTAAATCGAGTCTAAGAAACAAGAGACCCATAATTTCGAATGAAATGTGGTCACAATGAGTAATGTAGAGTCGAAGATAAAACACACAACAAGATTTTTGGGGGGTGGAATCGAGAAGGACAAATTTGTCATAGGTAAAGTTTTTGAGTTAGGGCGTGATTAATTTTTTATTGTAACTCTAAAATTAATGAAGAGCAATAGTTATATCGTTATTTGAAGTTATTGCAGGTTATTTTTGAGATATGTCTTCAGCAAAATCGAATGAGGAATATTTTTGGAAAACATATGCTACTTATATTTCGCGTTTTATGGGCCTTTTCCGTCCTTATTTTCTTAAACCTAAACCTAACCTAAATACCAAAAGATGTTTTGCCTCCAAAAAATGATACTCATAAAAAAAATAAAAAATAAAACATATCCGGATCTCAAAATTATTGAACAGAGTACCCCCATAAGAATTTTTCACAACCCCATACCAGGAGCTTCATTTTGTGTCACCGTGTCATTAGGATTTTGTGTTTCTATACAAATGGCCTGGAGTGTCTGCTATCTAATGTTGCATTGTATTTAATATTAACAACACGAAAGACCGACAATTAAGCGTGTAACACCCTAGATACGCATTACAAAATATGAAGATAATTTTATAATGTTTTTTATACAATATGTCTGTATGTATGTTGACAAAGTTGTTACTGTTTTTTTATCGGCATAAATAAAATAAAAAAGTTGTAAAACAATAAAGAGACAGACTGACACCAAGAAGTCAATGACATTTCAAACTCGTTTCCACATACAATCCCAAAGATATGACCATAGAGTAGTTATCTCTCGGTTCATGCTGGCAGGGTGGTGTATTAAAAAACAATACAGGTCTATATGAACAATGTTTACTATATAGTGTAATTAAAAAATGAAATGTTGTAAGAAAACATTAATTAATTAATAAGAAATATGTTGCACTCTTAGCGAAAAGTCGGTTGTTGGCTATTTGCTCTCTTAAGGCCCCAAAACAAAATTACAGAGTAATTTAAAATTCTTCTGAAAATCTGGTGATATTGTAGTATGGGTGATATTCTAAATAGAGTATCCATATGTAACTTTTTTAACTATTTTCTAAAGATATAAAGCATATTTCTGCAACATTTTTAAATTGCGTGATTTTAACTAAACGAAAATACAGTGAAATTGACAATTCGATTTCTAACCACTGTTTACAAAATTCTCCTGTTGCCTATCATTCAAATTCATAGTAACTTATCGCACGAACCACGGATCATTCGTTCACCTAGTTCCTTTTACTCCAGTTCCAGTTCCTTCTTGCTCTAGTTCTTCTTGCTCCGTCGTTCTTTTTTGCCGTTGTTCTCCCAGTTTTATCTTTTTGCTCCCGTGGTCTCTCTTTTATCGATTAATGAAATATTCCGTGTAATAATAAAACGCTATATATTATTCAAGCAAAAAAAATGCATGAACGACAGTATTGGCCCTGCTGAGTGACTGTAATAACTGGATTCTCGAAGTTAGAATGGATTAGATTAGTCTCGAGTTTAAAATGTAAGATGTTAAGTTAAATTTATATTGGTTAAAATTTAGGCATAGCTCCCATATATAGTTTCATTCGGTTTCATGTAAATGTTACACCAAAGACTCCAGGGTTTTCCGATTAACAGAAAATTTTGCATAGACTTCTGAATTAGGTACAGAATGATGGATGTCAAGTTTGCTTTGAATCCGTACATATGTCAACGTAGATTTCATATATAATTTCTACTGATTTCATGAAAATAATCTACCAGGCGACGTACCACATTTATATATATACCCAAAGCATTTAGGGTATCATGCAGTCGATCATTTTGATCCTTTTCTTATTGATTTTATAACTCATGTAATTACTTTTAAAATTTAGGTTTATAAAACAATATACCCATAGTTAACAGAATTTATAATTATTTTTTAATTTCTTTTTTTTAAATATAATAACCATTTGGTTGTCCACGATTTATTTTTCATTAAAAAAATAATAAAAACATAAACAAATTATTTTAACGTAATATGTATATGTATGTACATAAATATATTTTTATATTATATATCTAGAACTTATAATTAATTAATGACATTAATGACATTGATTCCGAATTTCACAGAGGAGATATAAACGACGATTGCATCTTTTTTCAAAAAAATGAATTTCTTAAAAATAAAAATAATAACGACACAATGCACAAACAAAAACGAAAAACTTAATCTTTGGCATAAAAACAAATGTTACAGCTACGAGACTTAGCTTTTTTCTTTTTTTAAATTTTAATACAGTTGAGGTTACAGTTTCATTTTAATATTAAATGTTGATTAATTAATAAAATTCCTAGAAATATAAGATTGCTACCATGTGGCAGTTGCCAGCACTTTAAGGTTGTGTTATTGTTGTGATACATGTTTCAGTACATCTTCGATATGTTATTAAGTCTTTTTGTTTTAATGTTTCTTGTTTCTTTTTTTTAAGTATACATAATTAATATTTTTTTTAATAAAAATACAAAAAATAATACTTTCTTATTGGAATTTTGGAATTGGGTTTTGAATTGTTCGGCCTCAGCTCAAATAGAATTTAACCTTTAAATGTGGCGTGGCATTGCCAGGTGTATTCTGGCCACTGCCACCATTACTTGTACAATTGCTTCGGGGCAAAAACGGTGTAGATTCATTATTACCTTCCAAACGTCGCAGCAGACGATCCTGATCAGATTCCTTGGGTGTGGTTGGCATATCCCGTTTGGGTGAGTGTATCCCAGCCAAATTTGGTTTCGTACTGATACGATTCAATTTGGTCGGTTGATGATCCTGGAATATCTGCGAATTGGCAAAGACCGCAAGTATCTCCGGTCCCAGCATTGGTACATTTGTTTGTGTTTCTCGGCGATAATCTTCTTCGTGAATTTTGGCATTACTGTGTAAATAATTTATTCAAATAATCGAAATGTTAAAAAGAAATCAATGGTATAAACAAATTAATTAATACGATTGTGATGGTGGTGGAGGTCATGGAAACAAACAAATGTGAAGAAGAAAATCAAATGTGGTGAGTGGATAAATTGAAGTAATAATTAAATTAAGATAACTCATTTTTGTGCGTTTTGGTGTGTGTACAATTTCCATTATTACCTGAATAGTCCAGATGAATGCCCTCGTCGCAGTGGCTGATCAATAATAATTGAGGGTACTCTGGTCACATTGTTGTTGTCCGCTGGTTGTATGCGTCCCAAGACACTGCCATTCTTTTTGGAGGCAAGATATTCTTCATCATCGTCGGGATTATAATTGGCTGAAATGGAAGAAATTAACAAATAATTTTATATTTGAATTAACAATTATATCAAGGGCGATGATTGAGGAATGTTTTTTTTTTTTTTTTTTGCAATATATCTTTATGACTCTTATATAAAGTTTTTTTGTTTGTTTGGATAGTATTGTTATATTATGTGTCGACAGACAAATACTGTGTCAGAGATGGGAATTTCTGATCGATTTAACATTGCATCAGATATTTTGTTTTGGTGCTTTCACAGACTTAACAGAGGTGAATATTTCGAAGTGTTGGAATCAAAATGACAAACTTAAAATGCCTCCCATTCTCTAGTAGCGAGTACAGTAGATATCGGAAATAAGCACACCTCATATAAGAAAAAATCGCATATAAGAAAGATTATCAAAAACACCGAGCTTATACTTTCTTATATCAGATAATTCCATATAAGACAAAAAAAACCCATATAAGAAAAAAATCTCCGGCTTTTTTTTGAGTTTCTTATATCCGATATCTACTGTATAACAATAAAAGTTTTGACCAATTGCAAAATGTAGACTGACTTATGACAACTATTACTCATACGACATGTGTATACATATATAACAACATAAAATTCCTCCTGCCAAAAGGTATTTTAAATGTCCCCTCGAATATTCTATATCAATCAACTGAATGATATTGCCAGTCATTATTTTTCTTATTTTATTACCATTCACATTATGTTGAGATAAGATGGCAAATTTCAACAATTTTAAATTCCTTATTTTATTATATTGGGAACAATATATCCCCGCATAGTGTTAAAAATTTCTATATTGTTTCATGTTATATATCTTACGAGATAAGATTCGCATTTCAATATGGTAAAATTCGCATTTCAAAATAATATCGAATGTTTTGCATATAAATTATCTACTACCACCATAGGGACATAACAAATACGGACGGCCGGCATTGAATGAATAATTATAGCTTTCTTCATTTTAATGCGTAATACCACCATATTGCGATAACAATGATATATCATAGCTAGGAAATTTTACAATGTGTCTCATTGTTTTCTTCTTTTGGTGTTGTGTACACACTGCAATCAATATATGATAAATAGGGAAATCATGTAATGTTATCGTAAATATGTACGATGAGAAGTCAATGAAATGCAATAAAAATAACATTACTACGCATACAGATCGATGCGATCATGTTTCGTAAAATTGTCTATCGTTTATATACAATTTTATTCTGAGACTATAAAAAAAAAATTCTTTATTGTAGGCAACAAATATTGATTTACCCATGTCTACCTGTCCTATTACAATCATGTTGTAGTTTAACACACATAGATAAGATTCTGAAATACGTCAAAATATTTTTTTTTTTATATTTTTATACTCCCAATTAGCAGTACCTTCCGATTTGACGTACATCGAAGACTTTATTATTATAGCTTACATCGCACTGTGGTACAGTTAATAGCAAGTTTGTACTATTGGATGAGATATTTAGAAGGACACAAATGGCCCATAAATATTTGTGTCGATTTATGTATATCTGATCAACTATACATTTAAATTTATAAACGAAGGCATATCCCATTTATAGTCCAGTAGAATAGAAATTCGACGACGGCATGAGTCTGATTGACTTCACGGCGGCAAAAACATGGTTGGTAGCAGCACCAGACTCAACCATCTCGATATACACAAGGCCACCTGGCTTTCTCCCGATCATCAAATTAATCATACGGAAGGTATTCATCCAGTGTTTTAGACGTTCGATCAATTCGAGGAGCGAATATCTATTCGGTCCATTACCTTGTAGCAGCCAAGGTTCGCATTCGACTAAATGTAGCAGCAAAGGTGCTACCTAACACAACACGGAAACTCGACTTCGAAAAGCTGCAAACACATCAGATAACATAGTTCTAAGCAACACTTAACCCCAGAGAGAATAATCGGGATGGAAGGAGAACGGAAAAACGCATTTTCAAAAGCAAAACAAAAAAGAAGAAAGCACAAGAAAATGCGAGCGTGAGCAAATCGAGATGTACAGGAGTCTGAATGAAGTCCAAAAATTTCACCAACGAATAAAACACTAAACCGAAGGCTTTGAGGCAGGCACATCCTCCTGTAGAGATGAAGTAGGAAACCTGGTGACAGATTTTTAAAAACTTATGGTATAAAATAGAACCAATAAGAGATGACGGTATAGAGTGTATACCACCTAGCCATGTTAAGGTCAGAATAGCAATCAATCGTATGGGTAATAAGAAAGCAGCAGCTACCGATGAGTTACAAGCCGAACTATTCAAGACCCGTGGTCAGATGCTAATCAGGGGCATCTACCAACTGATTAGTACAATTTGGCTAGAGGAATGCATGCGCAAAGATTGGAAATTGAGTATCCTACTATCTAAACAAAACAAATGACATCCGTTTTGAGCTTCGAAGAAGGTCTAAGATAGCAATTTAGAAACCACACTCTACAAGACACTGATACTTCCCGTGCTGTTGTAAGGATCTGAAGCATGGGCAATGCGCAAACAGAGGAGGCAGCTCTTAGAGTGTTGGAGAGAAAATTTCTCAGAAAGATATATGGGCGAATGAACCACGAGCTATACCTTGGCTAAGACATTTTGTATGAATAGATGCCCCAGCTCAAAAGGCATATAAAAACGATCATACTGGTGGTTCACGCTGAAGAGAAAGGCCAAGAATAAGATGGAAAGATCAAGTGGAAGATAACATATCGAAACAGGGTCTTTCAAATTGGAAAAACTGCGCACAAGATCGACGCGCCTGGAAATCTTTTTTAAGGTCAGCTTATGGAACAAATGTTCTTTTTCGAGGCAGCTAAAGCTAAGTATGCTTAAAAATCTCTGCTTATTGCATTAACCAAAGGGAAGCCAATGTGGTTGCTGACTTCTACGAGTCTCCTTGATGGCTCAATGTTGCCTAGGGCTACAGAGGGTTTGGAAAACACCGAAATACCACCCCTATAAAAAATAATTAAAAGAGCTTAACCCATTCGAAAGCAATAACGAAATCACTATTATTGTTTTGTAGCACCTCGTGAGCGGAGCTGGTATGACCTTCATCCGAAACAACAAGATTAAGTTTTTACTACTCGTTTAGGAATTGCTTTCAGCTTAGTATCTGAATCCATCAACTTGGGCAACCGTGGGTAATGATCTTAAGCCTTCAGTGTTCGCTAAACGAATCAGAGTCGGAGAGTTCGGACTCGGAGTATAGCGATTTTATTGAAATTAGATTGAGCTTACGTACTACTTATGAGAAGCAAGATCCTCGTCTAGTATTGGTTGTGTAATAATGTAGTAATATCAGTAACATAAGTAAGTCCAAATTTAGATTAGGCGAGTTTACTTGCGGCAAGTCTTTGTTTGTAGGAGAGAGGGGCAAGGGGTATAGAAATGAAAAAAAATTGCTCGTACCGACAATTTTCTGGCAATTTGTTTTGTGTATTTCGTATTTGTTGACATTTTATATACATGTATTTAAATGTGAAAAAACAACAAATAAAAATTTTTTTTGGAAACCGAATTGCCTTGTATAGACGCAAGGAGCAAGTTCAAAAGAGAACGATAAAAATTGCCGCAAGTAAACTCGCCTAATATAAATCAGGACTAACCGTTACTTTCAAATATTTAAATAAGAGTTGCATTCTAGTATTTAAATGATTAATAAAACATATGTGTTTATACTATAGTAATTAAAATTTGAATAAAAATAGTGTTGATCCGCTTCAGTCTCCCCCTTTGATGCTGAAATCGTCCCGATGATGCATCAGTAATAAAGGGTTGTGGAATCTGATAGATGATAAGTAGAGCTGGAGTGTTGATTCAGTAATGAAGATAGCGTTCTCGTAGTCATCATATCTTTCTGGGAGTTGGTACGTCAGGTATACGCCTAGAACAGAACTGCAACGATATGGTACTTGGTGATTCTGCAGAATACCATATTTTCTCGGAACTTCATAATCTTCCAATAGCAGCTGCAACCCGTTTACTGCGCCGGCGTCTGTTATGGATGTCACAAATTCTTCAACTGAGGCGGCATCTCTCTGCCCCCGAAAACGCAAAGTACAATGCGAAAACGAACCCGTCCGATTGTTGTTCTGCATTGCCTGGATCAGTTGTTTGAATTGGCTTTCAGTAAACTGCGTCATCTCTTCTTTTTCGCCTGACACGTACTCGGCGCTATCTGCTTTGGTAGTTTCCGTGATTTCAATATTTGTGTCGTTGTTCGTGTCCACTTCGTTGGGCGTCAATAAAGAAGGCGCCAAGTTGGGTGTTAGTGAAGCCGGCACCACGTTGGGCGCCAATAAAATAGCTCGTGACCGGAGCTGGTATGGCTTCTTCCTAACAACAAGATGTTCAATAATGTTGGCTACTCCTTGTTTAGGAACTATTTCCAGCTTATGATCTGAGTCCATCAACATGGGCAAGCGTGGGTAATGATCTTAAGCCTTTAATGTTCGCTAAACGAATTAGAGTCGGGGAGTCCAGACTCGGAGTGTAGCGATTTTATTGAAATTTGGGTTTTCTTAAGTACTACATTTGAGAAGCGAGATTCTAATCTAGTATTGGTTGTATAAAAATGTAGTAATATCGGGGATTTAGTTTTTGGTACTATTTACAGACTATTTACATAAGTAACGTTAATTTCAAATATTTAAATAAGTGTTGCATTTTAGTATTCAAATGATCAATAAAACTGTTTATACTATAGTAATTAAAATTTGAATAAAAATAAAGTTGAAATGTACCCGGTTATTGATCGTAGGGTTAATAAGACCTGTATAATGCATGAAGAAGGTCCTATCCATCAACTGCTTCAAATATTACACCACAAAGGGTTGACATTTTGAAAACATGTAAATCCAATATCAAGCGGATTGAGTGTTGGATTTGATCAATATTTGTTATATTTTGGAGCGTTTTTAAAAAACCTCAATAAAGTCAGAAAATGTGACTATCCCTTTTGGTACTTCTCCTA